TTATTTTTATATTAAAAAGATGTAAAGCGGAGCAAAGTTTTCTTCAAAATTATTAAAAACTGTAAACTGAGAAGTTTCTTAAGTAAGCAAACTTTATTTCAGATGCACCCACGTTGTGTTCGAGAACTTCAACTTTTAGTTGGATTTACACTTGACACCGCTTAAGAATTGAAAGCGTTTGTCAGCAAACAAACCAACAGACAGACAGACAGACAGACAGAATATACACAGACGGACACACGTACAAACATTTAAACACAAATAAACAAACAAATAAACAACCGACCAAGTAAATAGAAATTTGAGCACCCTTCACCCAAAACAAAAAGTTTGTAGAAATTTATTAAGAAAGAAAATACTCCGAAAAGCTGGAGCCTCTTATTCGACCACTTCGACTTCCATTGTTTTAAGTGATATTTTTAAATTCAACAATTCTTTCTTTCTTTTCTTTGGCAAAGTGTACGACTGCAAAGAGGAGAAAAAATAAATTAAATGAAACCAAAATTAGGAAAAAAGATACATAAAATAAAAAAAGAAAATTTACTTAAAATTTATTTTGAACTTTCAAGTGCAAGTACGAGTATCTCTTGGTTACAGATACGGCATCAAATGCGAGTTGCTCCGGCATCGACTCGGTCTTCTTACTCCCCGTGTGCGTGATTCCTACGAACTCAGGCTAAGCGAACGAAATTATGGCAAAAATAAAAAAAATTTCAGTAAAAAAGAAAAGTTAAAACAATTCAATTGAAATTCAATAACGGCGGAACGTTTTGTATGTTTGGCTTCTTTCAAATTACGAGTATTTCGCATATCCACTCCCCTCGGCACGTAAGCAAACGTTTCGATACCCAAAGTACTTCATGCTGTTTTGCATACCCGCAGCATCATTTGTAGCTCTGGAGCTTGTGCGATTGGGTGACTGTGCGATTGTGGTATGCAGCATCGATATTAACCCAGCGTGCCTTAGCTCGGAGGACCACCTGTGTGTATATAGCATAGACTCGCGTGTATGGTTGTCAATTATTTGTGAATTTAATGCGCTGGCATCTCTGCTTATTTTCCACTCAAGCGACAAGAAAATTGATATTTTCGTAATATTTTTACTTTATTTTTTTCTGTTTTCTTGGTTTTTTGCTTTCTAAATATCTTCACAATTTAATTTTTTTTAATTTCTCACATTGCGTAAACGAACATTTTAAAGCTGCTTTCTAACCAAAATTATCCCAAATACTTTGGGATAATATTGCATGAAAGCATAATTAAAGCATCATTTGCTAAAGAAAATTCCTTTAAAAAGTTCAGTTTTTTTTTTAATTTTTGGAATTTTGTTTGGTGCGAAAAAAAAGTATTTATAATATGTAGTTCAGTATTTTAAAGTACATAATTAGAAAAAATATCCCATGATTTGTCAAGCTCTATATTCAATTTTTACCTCCAAAATACGATTCGATCGTATTTAAAGATAGACTAAACTATACCAGTAATTTATCTTAAAAAAGGTAACGATTACGATCATTTGAATGATACAAAAATAAACACCAAATTGCAAAGAAAAGGTCTCAAGAAAATACTAATCTTTCATAGGCATGAGGGACAATTATGCAATAAGAAAAGACTTTTAAACTAATACTGCTTAAGAAAATCTGAAATTTGAACTTCTTTTCTAGAGCCTAAGTGGGCTAATATAATCAGAACTCGCAAATTAAATACAAAATATTTCTAAAGACGTCTGTTGAAGCTAACATCTTTGGTAAGTCAAATAGTTTATTTTATCATGATCAAGACGCACGATTTTAATTAGTGTGTATTAGAATGCACACTAATATAATCAGCATAATATTTATAACATAATATAATCATAATAAACATAATCCAACGGCGACTTCAAAATAAAGTTCTCTGAAATATTGTTAATGCCCCAAAGTAGGTTCCCAATATTCATATATGATGAGACCTTACTGCCACAATCGTTTGCACTGGAAATTAAAGAACAAACGGAATATCATTTAAATAGTTCCAGAGGCATGTAAACGAAAAAGCCAACACGCTTCTCAATACCACAGACCTATTCCAACAACTTCATGGGAGAAGTCATTACAATCTAATAGTCATTTAACTTAAAGTAGTAATTCTTGAAATCTCTTTGTAAAAATTAATATTGCTATTAGAGGCAAATACTCATTAGTCAGCCTGTAACTAGTTGTTGAGTTAACTTTATTACATATGTACATATCCATCCCACTATTGCAGGTCTGCATCTGAACAAACACTTAAATATAGGT